AAAAGGTGGGAAATAGAGGCGACTGAAAAAAACATTGATTTCAGTGGTGTATTTCCTACAAAACTGCCCTCCCAAACAAACTCTGTGTTATGAGGCCAAACTCTGTTTCCGGCCTCTCAACGTTTCCTGACAAGTCAAACGTAAAATATATTGTGTATCGCCTTGTTATTCCAGAATTGCTGACCTGCTTCTCATTCGGCCACAATGGCTTATTGCATCTCTCTGTCATTTGACATGTGCGCTTCTTCTTCTGGTGTCCCTGCTATTCTGTGTGTAATAAGTAAATGAGCGGGAGGGCTAGCGTGTAATCAAGCGGTTCACACTGGTGGTCGAGCTGGAGCATTTTTCATGGGTGGCCAAGTCTGCCAAAGTCAGTACAGACAGTTGTCTGGTATGCCCGGCAGCGCTTCACATACCAGCCATCTATCCACCCGACTTCATGTGAAACGCGGTCTTTTCGTTGACTTGGGCTTAGAAGGCAGCGTCTTTCACGCATGATAGCGTTGCATGCATCGCCAGTGGCGTTCCACAAGTTAAAGAAAACGACCGTGGGCGGGCACTGCATAGCATGCCAGCCAGAGTGCGGGGGGGTGGATTGACCCAGAAACTGAAGTTATTCGTTGTCATCCACAGGTGGTGCTGGTGTTCATCCTCAGTATCGCCGTCACTCGTCATCTACTTCATCGATGCGTCCAAGTAAGTGATGGGAGGCGGGCGGAGGAGCAACATGTCTCAATGCGCAATCACATCTGGCGATTTGTTGCGTAGCTTAGCGCTTGCCATGCGCCGTCCGCTTGAAAGAAGGGATGTTACTGGGACCTCGCTTAGAGGAGCTCAAGGCTGACTGGCTTCGTAAATCTGTCAGCTCTCAAGTTGATACGTGGGACTGCAATTTTTCTGTTTGGACTGCTTCTTCAGAAGTTACTGGTAATTCACTGCACAATGCACTTTGACATGCACACCTGCTCGAAACATTCCGCTTCGTTGCCTTCTTCTTATCCCAAATACATCGTCCCAGGAAAGGGCACCGGACTTCCCGCGTCACCCTTTAGCTTATCTCTTACCAGGTGCTCTCTGACCATTGTATATTTGCAGTTGTTTTGTAATAAGTGATGACTGGTAAGCTCTCCTGGCATTTACTGCATCGACCTGCCCCTCGGGAACTGTTGGCACAATTTTGTAACTATCCCGCCTGAGCTCGCATGCCAAAAGCCGTCACCGCATCCTTTAGAGCCGCGTCCTTCCTCAACATTCGCTCTCATTCAAGAACGATTTACGACTGCTCCAAACCGCGAGAAAGCTAATGACACACTGGAGGGCACGCGGAGATGGATGGAGAGTCGTCGACAAAGAAGTGGGGTCCGCGTCCGGGACGGGTTTTCGTCCAGCACCGTTGCCATCGGTGTGGGATTTGGGGTCCTCCGGGAGCTTAGTTTGCGCCTCAGATTTAGCGACCCTTGGGAGCGTCGGAAAGCCGGGCTGCGTCTTCGATTTCTTGTGTCGGTCGTCGAGGAACTGCAGGCCTAGCGCGTTTGCCTTATCATTCCGACTTTCGCAGTTGGTCAAGTTCGATGTTCGAGGGTAAAAAGTCTTCAGTAATTGTGAAATTTCTCTGCATTTCTCCGATGGTTTTTATTCGTAGCTGTGGTCTAAACGAATTGTGCCCGCTATGATCGTGTGCTATATTTTAGATAGCAAGAAAAATCTTAGTTAAAAAATAGCCTCATTGAATCACCGAGCACCTGAAGTATTCTCAACATTGTGCTTTAAAACATTGTCGACTGAAACTCCGTTAAGTACCAGGTCCCGATTTCTGGCATTGACCAGTGAGGACTGCTATCGCCTCCCGTTTCCGCCGTATGAATGCATGTCACTGAACAAAAAGAAAACGTTACGTGAACCAGAAGAGCACACCGCAACTTTCCACGTATTCAAGACCAGTACTTTTAAGTTGGCCCAGTTGCAGTGAGGTGACCATTGCATGGCAAAGCCGCTCAGCAAGAAACCACACCAGCCAGTAAGGGGTGCACGCCAAGATAAATAGCTACATAACTGATACACAGCACACTTCAGCCAGGAAGATAGTGCTTGATGTCGAAACGTAGGTTTGGGACAACCACCGGACGAGCGTAATGGACAAGAGCGCTGGTTTTCTTCTGCATGTGCACAACAATCGGCATACTTCTCTCAGCTTCGCATCACATGCATATAACGTGCATCCCCACTCATACCAGCAAGCTTGATATTAATTATTTCCTTGGCTGTAAGCCCCCGAATAAACGACAGTAGTATAACACCTTCATGAGAGATCGCACGCAACGAAAAGCACACGCGAGCAGGCGCTTGCCTTGGCAAAAAAATTATTTCGGAAGGTAGGTGGCTGTTACGTTCTTCGCTATTTCCCGCTCGTTCCGGAAAAACAAGACGCAATCATCGACCGGGCGCCATACAATCGCGTTCAAGCCGTCGCATTCTTTGGAACCAAAGCCAAAGCCTGCGTCCGCCTTGAATCAAAGCCAGAGCCCGCGTTTGCCTTAGTCTGCCCACCGAATGATCACCAGCGCGGACAACAGCACCGGGTCGTCTAGACCACTGTCCAGACCACAGCATTGGCTGGCCGGAAAACGGGAGCCGGTTGGCCAAGGAAAAGTGGGCTGCGAATGTCCGGAAAGTGATGTAATCGGCAGCGATTAAGAGAACATCGGTCTGACCATGGGGATAGGGGAGGGACAGCAGACGAGAACCGGCCGCAGGCTGGAGCGGTAGTTTCCATATAATCGATGGTTCATTATAATTAGGATCTGAATTCCTTCATCGTGAGAGTGACGGTCTCGCCCAGGCAACCCATCGCCCCAGGTCAACCCCAGCTCGTGAGAGTGACGGTCCCCCAGGCAACCCATCGCCCAGGGCTCGTGAGAGTGACGGTCCCATCCCCATCGCCCCGGGTCGGCCCCCAGCGGCGCGGGCGTCAGCCTCTCATGACGGCCGGGCGAGTTCTAACGGAGATACTTAACAGAGACTAAACAGAAATACGGAATATATATATATATATATATATATATAGAAATACGGGAATATATATATATATATATATATATATATATATATATATATATATATATATATACCTGATGTGGAGATACGAAATAGAAATAAGTGAAATAATGGAGCTGTGCTCGGCTCTCCTTGAGTGAACCTGGCCTCTACTCTGACTAAATCCAACATCGTTAAATTCAGAGTCTATTCTAGTGGAGACAATGCAGTCAAGCAGACTGTAGGACAAAGCTGAGCAGTTGGCGAATACAGCTCTTAAATGCATTTGCGTTGTTTTTAGTTCACATTTGGACAACACGTCCCAATCAGCCAGAGGACAGGATCATCAATACGTGCATTCTGACTGTTAGGTCACATTGTCGAGAATATAAATGCACAATGGCGTATTCAAAGGAAGGGGGGGGGGGGAGAGGGCAACGGAGGCACGTTCCCCGTTTTGAAATGTAGACGCATATTGCTATGCATATGAATGAGTGTCGACAGTTAACAGATCGAAATAGACACGCACAAATTAGTAGATCGGAAACGTGCCATGCTGCTTTACATTATGCAATAAATTTTACGCACCTGAAATTTGTTCAGATGGAGACTTCAGTCAAAAATCTTGAGTTGTACTCAATATTGCGCAACCTGCACACGCCCTTGGAAACACTTTCAGGCTGAACATATTCATTTACGTTCTCGTTAATGGAACATGGAAAGCACAGGAGTCCCAAACGATTACACCTGCTCATCCCAAATAAAGTGTTTGAAATATTTTCCGAAGAACTGAGCCTGTAGTACAAAGCATTCGCGAGGAGCACATTGCT